GAAACGATTGCTTTAACAAGCCCACGTATTTTGCATCGTTGGATCACGACTTGGAACAGTTAGAATATCAACTTAGGTCATCTGGAACAATGACACCAAGATGCTTCTCATTCGAGACATACGGAGGTTATTGATATCCGGTCTACTCGAGCGCATGAGTCAAGCGGGTGGAGTATCGATCTGGAGTAACTATTGGCCACAACTACCCAACAACACTGCCAGACTTAAAGAGTAGCAAAGTAAAGTTGAGGGCACGAGTGTTATCAGTTATGGAATAGACATGTTCATTCTTTGGCCGTTTGTTTGATCCTCTGGTTGAAACAATTGACAAGCATTGCATAACGCTTACGGGGCAATCGACAGAAAAAAATGATGGAATGACAAATGACCCATTGCGTGAAGAAAAAACAGTTTCTTCACATATTCCTGGATCACAATGGGTGTATCCGCGGTTTGTCAATTATGAGGTGACAGTCGCACATAGATATATCGCTACCCGTCAGGAATTTAAAAAAAATATAGATTCCCCAGAGTGCTAAACAGACCGGTGAGTGACCTACAAAACATGTCACATTATTCATACATATGTTGCAAAGTATCTCGTTTTGAAGAGATAGAAATCATTTTCACGTGAAAATATGTAAAGTGCTAAGCTGACACTATTGCTTGGTCAGACAATTAATCCATTACTCGATTAGAACAATGTTGCTAGTTAGACTCTCTCATTTTTGTAAGTACGTTGATTGCGGCTAAACGTGTGTGTAACACCCGGATAGATAACACAAACCCGGGCCTGGGTGATGTAATGGATTATTAATCAAGAGGATTGATGTATATTCGTTTGTGAAAGTAATTCGGGCCGCGGAAATGAATAGTCGACATGTGAAGTCTCATTCTACATTCTTTTCATTTCGGAGTAGCATGAAGGTCAATGTTGACAGAATTTCGATTTGTTCAAAATCGATAATTGTGATGGCTTAAAAAAAAGGATACAATTAACGGTTCAAGTGGACATTATTGGACATGTGGTTGTTGCTTTTGGTGCTATTGTTGTTGTTGATGCTGCTGCTGCTGCTGCTGGTGGTGGTATTCGAATAAACAAATTCTGAGGCAATACGATAGTACCCTGACAAGTGCTGCCACCTACAATATTTATTGCTTGAAATGTGAAGCTGAATTTTCGAAATTCTGCAGGTTCGACGGAGATGAAACAAAAGAAATAGATAAAATAAACCTGGTCCAAACTGTTTGCATTCAACTTTAAATATACTGTCACATCAATGAAAGAGTACTGCTTGCATTCTCGTCAACACAAATTCTCAATTAGCACGAAATCACAGTGCGGCTTTCACCAATTATAATTTACTGCTATCTATTTCGTAAACCGCGTAACGCATGCTGACAGTTCAATTTATTTCGGCACAGTTATTGGCGAAGAACACGTACGTGGCAATCAGCCGGTCCGTAAATGATGGATCAGACTGGTTCGCCTCTGTCATCATGCGAATTTTTATACATTTCAAGTATTCGGAACCTTTATTCAATATTTTCTTAAACCACATGATTTACGAGGGAACTTTGAGGACAGTGTTTGAAACTTACAGCCAATCCTTTGCTTGCTTGAGCCGTTTTCCACAAGTGTTTTTCTTCCAAAATGATTTCCATTTTGTGTATGTATTCAGTACTCGTTCAGATCACGGCAGTCATAATCCGCACCATTCACGATGAACAGCCCAAATTTGTTTACCGGACTGAACTGGCCTCTTTTAGTCTAATAAGCAGTTATGTTGTCTCGGATGTTACCAACATCAACGGTATCTCTTTATCGGATTTCTCTCTCGGCTTGAGAACACAATCGATGAACTGAATCACTCCGAGTCTCTGAATTCGGATATGTGAAGGACAATTGTCCAAGCGGACCCCACGAATAAATAGTCTGCTGTCCTCCAAATATCTGCACACAGTTCCTTCGATTTGCCCCTTACTCGAACACGTGATTTTTAATTCACAGAGAGAGAGAGAGTGGCAAACAGCTGATCCCTCTCCACTGTGTGTCATCAAAGGGTAGCCGGGATTGTAGGCACTGCTCATAAAATCATTCTGATCAGAGCAGTCTTTTACTTTGCAACCGTTTCACATCCACAAATAAAGAGTTAACATATAATACCAACACAACTAGTCTGATTGAAGGAGGGAGGCATTCTACGCTGCTCAACAAAAAATGTACTTAACAGTGATTAATCAACGAAACCATTCAGATATTTAGCTCACAAGTTCATTTTAATTTACTGGCTTCGGTTCAGACAAGTTAAAATTGTTTCACACGATGAACGTTATCCATATATAGTGCATAAGACTGTCAACAAAAGAACTTACAGATAGTGATAACATTGATATTTGTTGTTTGGCAAAATCGAAGTTGAATAGCCTCAATGCGATTTGAACCCACGCATGGATGTCGCCTAAGCGATTTATACAGCACACGTTATACCAGCTAAGTTACGAGACCACACCGATAGCACTGATCTTTTCACATCCGAATCACACATCCAATTTGCAGAGGCGTATGGCTGGTAGGGCGTACGCTGTGCAAAAAGCGTAGGCGGCCTCCATGCGTGGGTTCGAATCCCACCGAGGCTGTTGATATTTGTTCTTAATAAAAGAGAAATATTCATTCAGATGGGGACAGGTTATTGCAAAACTGTACGTCCATAAATGTTTCGTTGATCCACAGTAGCAAAACGTGCAGTGAAGCGAATCCATCATTCGCTCTATTCTCTCTGGCGGTCCGATAGCTGTGCGGGCTTACTCGTCACGTTAAGAAAAAGCTCACCACGTGTGAAAAGAAGCCTCAATGTGCAAAGCAAGCATTACTGCTAATGTGTTTGAATCAGATCACAGACACCGAGAACCAGAAAATAGATTTGGTTGGTTGTGGTGCTCCACGTTGCGCAGGAACATTTTCTTGGTTTTTTTTCCTCTGTGTGTTCAGTGATGCAAGCGAGACTACACGGCTTTTTGAGTGATAAGATCGGTTGTCGAACTGATACCGCGCCTTTCAAACACAACAAGTATAGTTGCCACCTAGTTGTAGAGAGTTCACGCGCCTGGTTGTCAATCCTGGATCGACGAGTTTATTCAAGCGTAAAATATCAGTTTTCCAGTCTAGTGCACAAGGTTTTCACGTTTATAAAATCAGATAAGAATTGAGATTCATTTGATAAAGGCGTTCCAAAGGGTTCTTGAATGTTGTTATCCATTTATGATGGTTTGTTGCCTTTGGCCCAAACTAAGAAACAATCTTCATAGACTCGTTCATTCCATCGTTCACTCTGATTGGCCGTCCGCCGAAGTCGTCAGTTTGAACCCAGTCACCCTCTTCGTGAATCATATATTTTATTTGATAACGTCAAAATTGATTTCGGCCGTGATTCCCGATATCAATTGTTGCTGTGAGTATTTCAGAACACCGCGAGCATTACTTACTCGTGCAACATCCCTCTCATTTTGGTAATACATTTTTCCGTTTCCAATATCACACTTGTATATTGATGGTTATTAGTAAAGTGTATTTAATCCTGACATTATCTCCCAATTCTGTTCTTTTAGTTCTCTTCTATCACCGTTTGACTTTGCGCGACTTTGAATGTCTCGATAAAATGTGTGGTAGTTCGAAAGGTACAGCTTATATTCATAAAATACTGTATGCAAAGGTGCATGAAAAATTCATTCTCTCTAATGAATAATTCCTGTTTTATGAGGGTATTTATCAAGCTGACCACACCAGTTCTAATTTGCTTATCTCTCTTCATTCAATGTACGGTAAATAAGCCAATTAAAGAATATATTCTATCCTGAAGAAATTGATAAATTATTTGACTGAAAAATACTCATGAATCATCTCGAATACTGAAAATGCAGTCCGAGAAAAATAAAAGCTGACCTCCGAAAGTTAACCTCAAGGTGTGCGGCTCGTTGAATAAGCGTATTGTGGTGTCACCAAGTCCAAACCGGAAGACACATTCAAAAATGTTTGGTATATAATTGAAGCCTAGAGGCAACTTAATCGAGAAGCACATAGATCTGATGATTCAGTTGGTGACTTGTGGAAGTGCTTTGATGTGAACACAAGTCCAATTTATTGCTTAATCAACGGAACTTCTTTATCAAAACAGAAACCAAGAGGGAGAAAACCGATCATTTCGAAACAAAACGATGATTAAATTTGATCGAAGCGGAGAAAAGTGGCATACAACCAATACGAGGTGAATAGTCCAGGTGGATTAGGCACTTTTCCTCTCACTACTGTTCGGTATTGGTTTCTATTACTGTTATTCCGAAACTACATTTGCAGCAGTCTTATGTTTCACAGATGAAGTTTGGTATATCTTCTCGCTTGAGGTTGGCAGTGGAAAAGGGGAATTAGCGGATCACATATCTGAACCGCTAGCTTTTCTGTTCCAAACGTGCTGCCCCAGTAGTGGAAACAAGGCATAATTTCTCCATTTTACAAAGGCGGCTGTCGTAGTGATCCTGCCAACTACCACCGGGGTGACACTCCTACCCGTTCTATCCAAAGTCATGGAATCTATCGTGGCGGATCTGTTGATGGAACACTTCGAGAACTCCGACCTCCTTTCCCGTGCACAGCATGGATTCCGTCAAACGGGAACATGTACTACCAATCTGCTCCTGGCCGGCGATGAATGGACAAAGGCAGTAGATAAAGGCGATCCAGTTGATGTGGTTTACCTGAACCTCTCCAAAGAAAGAGTTCGATCGGGTAAACCACGAAATAATGCTACGTAAGCTGTACAATTTTGGTATCAGAGACCTCGCGCTTGATTGGATTGCTGCGCTTCTCCAACCACGGTTCCAGTCTCTAATTCACTGTCCGCCCCTATCGTCGTTTACCGCGGAGTCCCCCAGGACTCTGTGCTTGGTCCGCGATTTTTTCTCTTGTTCATAAACGACCAAAAATATTATTGTTTGCAGACGACGTCAACATCTGGAATACAATGACAGAAATTGGGGATTCGCTGTAACTCCAAGAAACACTGACCGCAGTTCATAAATGGTCTATTGAGAACGACATCCAATTTAACGTCTCCAAATGCAAGGTGATTTTGCTACGCCACCATGAGCGGTTTCCTTATTTCCTCGGAAACGAACTGCTGCCTCATGCATCAACAGAGAAGGACTTGGGTGTGATAGTCCACGAAGACCTGAGCTATTCTGTTAACTGTGCCAAGGCGTCATCAACCGCACTCAAACATATCGGTCTACGTAAACGTGTTTTCAGTCGTTTTGAACCATCGCGCCTGTTGTCAGCATACATCCGACCGCATAATGAGTATACCTTCTAAATCTGGAGTCCATGGTTACAACGGGATCATAAGATTCTGGAGCGTCCACAAAGGCTCGCCACGAAGATGGTCAAAGGACTCTATCATGATTCATACATAGGGAGATTGCAGTCGGTTGATCAATGCTCTGCTCAGTATCGTCTGATTCTAGGAGACTTGAGTTTAGTCTACCGCATATTACACGACCCAAACCACCCTTGTCGCTGAATTGTGACGTTGTCATCAAATGTTCATCTACAGGGACATCCATTGAAGTTGGTACTTTAAAAATCT